TTCTCCTACAACATCAGAGTGCAGCGCCACATTAAATACGCACTACAATGACAATAGTTTAAAGCGATTTGAAGCATGTTTTTTTTTGGGGGGGGGGCAGAGCTTTGTGACGTCATATTTGAGGGGGGGTCTGACTTTTTGTGACGAGGGGGGGGGGCAAACATCGTCCAAAATCGCGTGACGTCATTTATGGACTGCCCCAAAGATATTACCAATGTAAAGGAATAATACATTTCGCGTCATGATACATTCAACAGGAACACGTGCATGCTGTGGCATTCTTCTTTGTGCGGCTGATGTTAGCGTGGAGCAGTGTTCTTCACTGAGGGCCGCCACACATTTGAAACCATTGGGGTTTAACAGCGGGACAATGATGACGATGGGGGGGTGTCACGTGTTGTGTGTATTGTCGGGGGCCACACTAAAGGCCACCAGGGGCCGCCAGTGGCCTGCGGGCCTTGCAATGAAGACCGTCGCTGTAGAGCAACAGCTGTGATTATACATTGAGGCACTCGAGCCAGACAATCAGGTCTAAAGTAGGGGAGTGTGTTTGCTGTGATGCCGCACTGAGGCGTCCACAGGGGGAGGGGGATGCAGGACCCCACGACGCATTCAAACTTTTTCATAACTATTACATCTGACACCGTGAAAGTCGAAGCGCGGAGCCCCCCCCCCCCCCTCCCAAAGCGCGGGGCCCGGGGCGGTCGCACCGATTCGCCATACCCTCGGGACGGCTCTGCATGCCTCCTTCGTGTTTGTGAATCGGGCATTGAGTCCTTTATATATTTATGTTTCATGCTATCTCGGGTTGACATGCGTTAATTCACTCCTGGGATTAAGGCCACCACACTCCGAGTCGGTCTTGCTTGACCATCCTTCACCACGATGGTGAAGGGGAGGGGGGCAGGGCCGGTTCAAACATCCCTCGTCACTGATGTCACAGCTGTTGGTAGGGATTTAACCTCGGTCGCCGGGTTCATATCGCAGGGTCCAAACCGTTGTGCCACCACTCACCCCAACGGCACATAGTCACACTGCGATACAGCGTACAGTTTGCGTGTGTACATAATTGTGTTCACGTCGACATAATGAGCCCACGAAACACGCACGTGAGTGATTGTATACAGCTACAGGAGCGGTGGCGCAGTGGTTAGGGCACCGCGTTACGAACCCAACCATCCGAGCTCGATTGTCGGCTACGGCTGCCATCGGTGGCGAGTTCACGATCCGCTCCTGGTTCCCCCCCCCCGCACCCCATTCGCCAACCCCGCCGTACTGACCAGTGTGAAAAAGTATGGTCAAACCTACTCCCACGGCCTGAAGGTCGTCATCCAGAAGTGGATTCACCTTTAAAGTCTGAACATAATGATCATCTAATAGGGTTTCTCCCCTTTTTTTCTGGCAACAAAACTGACACCTTTTGCAAGGAATCATGCTTACATTGACCACAATACTTGCAGTCAAATGTAAACAAAAAACAATACTCTGATAATTTATGCATTGTCTTTGAAACTGATTGGTCCACACCAGAGACAGCTTTTTTGTGGTTAATGTTAAGCATGATTCCTTGCAAAAGGTGTCAGTTTTGTTGCCAGAAAAAAGGGGAAAAACCCTATTAGTATATTTTGGTACTGGCAAAGGAGGTCCCATGACATAATGATCATCATCAACAGCAGCAGCAGCAGCAGTCCAGTTCAGTTCATTTATTAGGTAAAGCCCTGTGAGCCATTCCTCTCTTGAATCGGGTGCCATGGACAATCAGCTGCTGGGTTGAAAACCTCCTTGAGACAAAATCGTTCCATCCTCCTCGAGAGAGGAGACGTTCGTTCGTGGGTCACATTTCTGAGCCGCACGGCACGGCACAGAGTGTGTGTCGTGAGCGCACTGATTGAACGGAGGCTTCTTATTTAAGGGCTTGTCTCTTGGAATTTTGCCTCACTTGAAACAGTAAATCTAGCTGTGACGGTCCCACCTGATGACGGAGACTTGTGTTACCTCCGAAACGTCGTGATTTATCATTTTATTTCTATTATTTTATTTTTATTATTTATTTTTACCTACGTGGCTTTACCGAAAAAACCTTGCAGTCACGAAAACTTCAAATCTAGAAATAAAATGAAAATGTAAAGCTTCCGTGTTCATAACAGTTTCTAAAGCCAACATCACTATCAATCGTCACCCACAACCCAAAACACTCGGCAGTGTTTCTTTAAATTCGTCAATGACACTGCCCTCAAAGGAAAACAAATACAATCGGTAAACGTTTCGAGCGATGGTCCGTCTTTATAGCACGCAAGCCTCGTCGTGGTGAGATTCCACACAGACTAACATCTGTCCTAAGAGTATGAATCCTTGCAGTCACGAAAGCTTCACATCTAGAATGCTTCTTGGAGAGTTTGCGTCTCCTATCTCTCTCTTCATCTCTCCCCCCGTGGTCGCGTGGATTTTTTTGTCTTCTCCGGCTCCTCCGGTTTTTTCCCCTCCGCATTTAGAAACATTAATTTAGTTTAAATGTTGCAGCTGTACATTTCCACGCTATCGTTTGTGTCCAGGTTGCTTCTAAAAGAAATACGTTGATCGCTCAATGGGCTTTTACCTGGTAAGATTAAAAAAAAGTTTCGTTTTATTTGTATATATTTTTTTAAAGTTATTTGTTTTACCTTTCCCATACTTTTCACTCATATCTTGCGTTTCTACAGTTTTTTGTTGTGACGTTTTCACCATCTCTGATAAAGAGCTTCACAGCTCATCTGATTCCTCCGCTATAAATGCATCTTCTGATTCTGACTCTTAATCATCAAATTGAGCCTCCCAAAAAGAGCACTCCAAACCTGATCTCTCCTTCATCACTTTGATCCAGGTCCGCCTTCAATAGCCGTGCTGCGAATACAAACTCTGCTGCATTTTTCAGTTGTGTACCTCCGATGGCACCGACCGCATACATACAAAAATACACACGTGATCACACATACGCACACGTCCACCTCCGATTAGCATGGTTGGCTACGTGCGGTGCGAAAGAAGTTCAAAATACAGTACGTAGATAAAGACAAAGATTCCCTTATCAGACTTTTGGGGGAAGTGCTGTTAATCAGCACCACACTCGACCGCCTTTGTCTCCCAGTGGCGATGTTTATACACCGCGGCAGGCACTCATTTGAGGCTGAGTTTATCTAGGGGAGACTCAGGGCGGTGTTTTTTTATATTCGCTCTAACTGATATTGGTCGTCAGAGCGGGAATCTAACTCGGGCTGCCGGGTACGAAGCGCACTGCGCTAACCTCTGCACCACCGTCCCCCCAAAAAACAAAGATCCCCCGTGTAACCTTAACAGGCTGTTCGGGCAAGTGCTGTTCGCGAGCACCTATGAAGGTCGGAACGGAACTCGAGGGGGAGGGTGGCCAGCACCACGCCCGGCCGCCTTTGTCTCCCTAGCGGCGATGTTTACACATCGCACCGTGTACTCAATTGAGGCTGAGTCGACCTAGGGGAGGAGCAAGAGCCGGTTCAGATGTTCGTCACCGCTGTTGGCCGCGAGCGGGAATCGAACTCGGTTCGCCGGGTTCGCAGCGCAGTGAGCTCCCCAGACACACACACTCACACACTCACACACGCGTGCACACTCACACACGCACACTCACACACTCACACACGCGCGCGCACACTCACACACGCACACTCACACACTCACACACGCGCGCGCGCACGCACACTCACACACGCGCGCACACACACACGCGCGCGCACACACACACACGCGCACACACTCACATACACACGCGCACACACACACACTCACACACACGCGCGCACGCTCACACACACACACACGCGCACACTACACACACACACGCGCGCGCACACACACACACGCGCGCACTCACACACGCACGCACACTCAAACACACACGCGCACACACTCACACACACACACGCGCACACACATGCACACACACTCATACGCGCGCACAAACTCACACACACGCGCGCGCACACTCACACACACACTCACACACACGCGCACACACTCACACACCCGCGCACACACTCACACACACACGCGCACACACATTCACACACACTCACACGCGCGCACACACTCACCCATTCACACGCGCGCACACACTCACGTGTGCACACTCACACACACACGCGCGCACACACTCACCCACACACGCGCGCGCACACTTACTCACACACACGCACACACTCACCCACACAGATGCGCGCACACACACACGCTCACACACGCGCAAGCTCACACAAACACACGCGCACACTCACTCACACACACGCACACACTCACACGCGCGCGCACACACACACGCTCACACACGCGCAAGCTCACACAAACACACGCGCACACACACACACGCACACAAACACACGCGCACACTCACTCACACACACGCACACACTCACACGCGCGCGCACACACACACGCTCACACACGCGCAAGCTCACACAAACACACGCGCACACTCACTCACACACACGCACACACACACACGCGCACACTCACTCACACACACTCACACGCGCGCGCACACACACACGCTCACACACGCGCAAGCTCACACAAACACACGCGCACACTCACTCACACACACGCACACACACACACGCGCACACTCACTCACACACACGCATACACTCACACGCGCAAGCTCACACAAACACACGCGCACACACTCACACACGTGTTGCACAGTCTCATCCTCCTTACGAGCGCTCCGCCCACGTGAACGAGGGGTGGGATCTATTGCGCGTGGTTAGGAGAGCGAGCGCTTGGTGGTGGTGGTGGGGGCTAGAGTGGTGAGGGGGGTAGAATGCTGGGGGGGGGGGGGTGATCGTCGAAGTGGAGAGTGGGGGGTTAGGGGAGAAAAATAATAAGCGGGCAGCAAACAGAGCGAGTGGAGGTGGTGGCTTTGGTGGCTTATTCTGGGTCAGCAGCGAGGGGGCGAGATTGCCACACAGAGCACGCTCTGCTCGTGGTGTCTAACCGTGACTATGTAGCGGAGCAGCAGCAGCAGCCCCCCACCCCCCCAACAGCCTGAGGCCGACTGGACCCTCGCACATCGCCGCCGACTCCTCTCGCCCTCTCCTCCTCCTCCTCCCTCCTCCTCCTCCCCTTTGTCGTTCGCTCCACGGTCTGAGATTCAGGATGAAGACGGCGCGGAGGCAGAGGGCGAAGCGCGTGTCCGCGTGGCCGTTCGTTGCGGTCACGGGACCTTAGAGGGGGAAAAACATCAGCGGCGTTCGAGAGCCGAGTGAAGGAAAGCTAAGAGGGGAGGAAGGAAGCTGAATAAGACGATTATTGATTGCCACCGAGGTAGCACGCGTTGCGTGCGGGTGCGCGTGATAGCGGGTACGGGACCATGAGTGCGTCTCTTTGCACGTCACACTACGCAGGCTTGCGAGCTTACAGCTATTCGTGGGAAGAAGGCGTGTAAGGCAAGGCAATTAGCAGCGACATTATTTATATCTATCAAATTATACACTGTATACGTGAGTAATAAAAGGGAGGTGATTTATAGAATCCGGACTGCTTGTGCGCAGAAGTTAGTGTGTTGGGTTGGTTGGGGGTTTTGTTTGTTTGTTTGACAAGTGTCAAACGCTGCAGGGCAGACACGGTGTGGCACGATGTGTGCTCCACTCTCGTAGGTGAACTTGGGAGACTCCACCGCGTGCCTGTCTGTTGCCGCGCCCGCAGAAGCCACGACCCGTCCCAAGAGATCGGGACAGCGACGGGAGAGAGAGGGGAGCGGGGCTGAGCGGACGAGTGACGCGCGGAGAGAGAGAGAGAGAGAGCGAGCAGGGACACACGAGCGACGCGTGGACGGAGTGAGAGATACGCGAGCGGTATATTTATATAAAAGGAGAGAAGAGCACGCCGGCTGGGCAGAACGAGAGGCGGGAGGGAGATCGGGGCTTTGAGAAACAAGCAACAAGATTGACACCCACCGGGGGGGGAAGCCCACACCATTGACACACAAGGACATCCGCAGCACAAAGTGTGACGAGCCACTTGAACCGAGACAAAGTAGGAATATAACCGACAAGACATCAGATATAAGAGAGCTACCAGAGACGCATTGGTGACGAGCCCTAGAGAGGACACACACACGCGCACACCAGCCTCAACAGCATCGACTGCATAGCAGCGTGTGCGACGCAGGTGTCGTGGTCACAGCCATGATCTCTCCCGCCACACTCTTGGCTCTGTTGGGCAGCATCGCCCTCTCATGGCACGAGGGTCCGCGCGGAGCGAACGCGGACACGGTCCGATCCAGCTTCATCCACCGTCAGCTGCGCTCTCACGAGAGGAGGGAGCTGCAGAGGGAGATCCTCTCCATCCTGGGGCTGCCTCATCGACCCCGACCTCCGGCTCCCACCGGCAGGCAAAGCGCGGCTCCACGCTTCATGCTGGACTTGTACAACTCCATGCCTGCAGAGGCTGGTGGTGGTGGTGGTGGCACCGTGGGTTCTGCTCAATATCATTATCAGTATCAGAACCAGCAGCAGCAGCATCAGGGATCGTCACCACCATCATCCGTGCTCATCGGCCGTGGACCACCACCTCTGCTGGGAGCGTCACATCTGACGAGTATCCAGGAGAGCAACTTTCTGAGCGACGCTGACATGGTCATGAGCTTCGTCAACATGGGTGAGTGAGCTGAATCACCTGTGTGTTCGTGGATGTAACTGATGCTGTGTGCGTGACACTCGCTCACTCTGTATGGGATGCTGAAGTTGACTGTGTAAGGTGATATCACCAAAGGAGGGCTGTGTCCACGTTCTGAAAGTTAGGCTATCGAAACATCTCAATTCCAATTTCGACTCTTTACCATTTAACACCGCCAGATACACAGAGGCGTACTTTGGAAAGACAAAACATTCGACAGTTTTGGTCCCGATAATAATTTATTTTGGATGACGGGGGTGGGGAAGTGCACATTCTGAAAACGTTTATTTTTTTTAGCATTTTCTTTTTTGTTAGACATTAACTCTACAGAATTTGTCGCCAAATGCAACTCCCCGAGCCCTTCTAGAACATCACAGACTTGGCATCAATCGCCATACAAGTCACGGTCGCCTCGTGAGTTTTTTTGTTTGTTATATGCGAGATTTGTGCCGTGCTTCCACAAGTGTTGATGTGCCCCCGTGCCCTGAAATGTGACTCAAGATGAACATTTTGTCGTCTTACATTTTTTGAGTTCCCAGGCAGTGGTGGAATTTCCACATTACTATGACCGGGTCTTGTATCTAAAAAAAAAACAATGTTGGCTACCCACTAAAATGGTGAAGCCTCCTAAGAGTGTACTTACTTTACCGACCCCCTGTGGGATGATGATGATGACGATGGTGCTGGTGGATTGAGTCAACGTGGAAACATTTCATCAACCACGTGAGATTCGAATCGATTCATTAATTTGTAAAAGAAGAAACAAATAAATCTAGGGATGTAAACGTCACTCTGAATCAATGCGCCTGATCTCGTAAGCGTACGTTGGGAAGAGCCTTCGTGTCCACACATTAACGGATGAACCACCGGCGCAGCATACCAGGTGTTGGAGGCGTTTGTCTGTGAGCCCTGCAAGGTGCCGGTAGGTGACAGTATAGTAATGGAGCCGTGGTCCGCAGAGATATTTTTTCAACTTTGTGGATTAAGTCTGTAAGATTAATCCATCTGTGCGGAGCTCTGAGTGTCATTGCCTCGTGTCTGTGGTGGGTTTCGGTCCGGGTACTCCAGTTTCTTTCCCCTACGACAAACAACCAATTCATCAGTAAGGGAATTGACTCAAAATTCCAATGCAGACATGACTTTCTTATAGACGAGATTTAAAACTCAGTGAGATATATCCCTGGGAAAATAATGGCCATTATGTTCCACGAGGAAGAGTTTATTTTATTACTTGTTTGCAAATCTTGACTTAAAGCTTTCGTGACTGCAGGAATTAATATTCTTTGGCTCTTTCGGTAAAGCCATGTAGATAGAAAAAAAGAGAATATAAACGAAACGTCGTGATATTGTTATTATTTTATTCTCTTTTTTTTATCTACGTGGCTTTACCGAAAGACCTAAAGAATGCTTGTTTGCAGTTTGCTTCATTCGTTTAAAAAAAAACACATCGGCACATAATGATTTAACTGTGCAATACCGCAGAGGCGTTAACACCTTTGACAACGGTTTATACAATGTGCTTGCATACCAAACATTGCGTGTGATACAAACACACAACCAGCCCGTCCAGTGTCCCTTGTAGATCATCCACACGTGTGCAACATGCGCTGTTGCATCTTCACAGGGTCGTGAGAGGTGGCGTCGGCTTGGGGAGGCGTCCATCCAGCAGTGAATTGATCACGGCTGTTGATGACAATGATGATGATACAATGTATATCATAGCACGTACTACGCACGGTAAATGTTTACTTGTTTATCCAAGAAAGACACACTAAGCTCGAGTGTTCATTGGCAAGAGAGTCCTGCTAAATTGTGAAATATATTTAAAGATGTTTTCAACCAATTAATGATGAGCAGCGTATATTATACACGTGGGAGGAAACCACAGCAGCCGGAGATAACCCCCACGTGCGCAAGGGAGCAACGCTCAATCCCCGCACAGATGGAAACAGATGGCGATCAATCAACTTGCTGCACTGCCTTCTACTGGCAAGCCGGGGAAGGGAGTTTCACGACATTTGCGCGGTGATCCATCAACGCTCGCTGATGCCTCCACATTGCTGGATTACTTGCCACGTTCAAAGCCACCATCGCCCGTATACTATACACGTGGACTACTGTTGTGTGCTAGACCGTCTTCACGGGTCAGCCACGCATTCCACGAGTGTGACATTGATTACGTTGGCTTCATCGTGCATTACAACAACAAAAATGAAGTTATTTCAAATATTGTTTCCTCCTGCCCCTGCGCTGTTACCACGCGTGGCGCGTGTGATGCAGAACATGCGGTGGCTATGGCTCAACGCAACAGGTTTATGAACGTGCGAATTGTGTAAAGAAAATGCAGCTGGCTCTGTCCATAACATCATAAATTGTAGCGGCCCTAATTTGTTGCTTCGAACGGAGTCTCGCGGTGCTGCAAGCAGGTGATGGGTGATTGACACTGCCGCACGATGCACGCGCGCGCGTGATGATTCACGAGGAGTGTAAGTGTGGAACATGTGCACCGATGGTGTCCATCTGTCCACTCCACTGCTGGGTGAGTGGTGGGGCTCGCCACGCCGTGCGGATCTATTTAACGCTACGTCACAACGATGGTCAGCGGTGGGATGACGTAGTTGCGAGTGCATAGAAGGACAGTACAACGATGAGTTAGCTTGCACTGCGGACTGCTGCCCACCGGGTGTATAGATATATACTATGTAGGCAGAATATTTACTGTGTATACCATAGCCATCATCTAAACACCGTTTGTTTTCAATTTTTTTTTTTACTATTTTGCAAAGACACATATTGGACAACGACGGAGTAATTTTCAGCCCATAAAACATATTTACGTAAATTTTAAATTTTGTAGATTGCCCTGTGACTTTACTAATTCGGGTGTTGATCACGGAATTCACCAATAAGAAGTCCCCAACCCCCGATTCGTTCTGTTGTCTTTCGTGTTGTGCAAAACACAAGCGATCGTAATGTGAGAATAGCTTTCACTCTTGCTGGCAATAGAACAGGTGTTAAGATGTTAATACACCAAACTGAAACCTTCTTGCAAGGAATCATGTCTGCATTAACCACGTGTACTTGTGGTGAACATGCAAACAAACAAAACTTGCTCTGACAGTATGTGCATTGTCTTTAAAACTGATGGTCCACGCCAGAGACAGCTTTCTTTTGAGCCTCGTCTCAAACAGTGTTAGACCAGAGGACGCCGAAAGGCGACCAGCACAAGGAGAATGCCACGATCATGACATTGAGAGCTCGTGGTGAGCAGCTACATCATGGGACCTCCCAGTTTGGTGTGTTAACATCTTAACAACTTTTTTTTATCGTCAGAAAGGTTAAAACACCCTATTCTTATATTTGTATATACTGACAAGTGGAGGTCCCACTGACCAAGCGATCGTGTTCGCATTTTGTTTGTGCTGTCCGCAGTCTGTGTCGAACAATGCGCGTGCGTGCGTGCGTGTGTGCGTGCGTAGGGTGGTGATGGTGGTGGTGGGGGGGGCTCATTGTCTCATGGGCTCGTTTCTTCTTTCTGCTCGTTAAAACCGATCTGCCCCATTCGTGTAGGTTTAATGCGGGGGCCACTGTCGGTTATATCGTGTGTCTACGGCGGGGAGATTGGTTTACAGCGGGCTCTCTGCATGAGCCTCGATGGAAGAGGACGTCACGCACAGGCGAAGGTGGAGCGGTGGCGCGGTAGTTAGTGGAGCGCGCTGTGAAACTGCGGCTACGAAACTGGCCATCCTTGAGTTTGATTACCCGGCCGCAGCTAGCGGCGTGGTGAAGTATGGTCAAACAACGCGGTGTGGTGGGGGAGATTCTTCGTCCAGCATACGTATTGACAAGTGGTTGTAGATTAATTTTTATTGTTCTCGTTAGGGAAACGTTTAATTCTAAGAGTGAATTTGCTAAGGCTAATGAGTTGTGCTGGCACGGATCCACAGTGTGGAGTCCAGGCAGAGGGCGGATTAATTAATGAGCGTGTTGCGATTAAATGTAAAATAAATTACGTCGAATATCACCCAATCAATATGAAAATGCGTTTGTTGTTTTGTAAATGTTCACATTTCTCTTTCGCGGTGTCACTCCAAGCATGACGCCGCTTCTTTGTGAACTTTTCAGGCTTTTGCTCCGCGTTGGGGATCTCTATCAGAATCTTTACTTCGACTCGAGGATTCCGACGAGCTCTTCGTCTCTTTTTCACGGATGTCCAGCAGTTTTCACAGATGTCCACGGAAAGTTAGTAACACAGTGGAACAGAGGACACAATGCAGGTTAGGGGCTTCGCTCTAAACCGTTAAGAAAAGTGGCTTCGGGCAGAACACACGGCGAGAGGGGGCCATCCATAAATTACGTCACGCACCTTGGGGGGGGGGGGGTTTAACATTTGTGACGATGTGTGAGGAGGGGGGGGGGTGTGAAATGTGACGTCACATCAAAATGCGCAACTTTAAATAAATATAGACAACACGTTCTTCTTAATTAAATAGACGTTTTAATAAATGTTTTCTCCTACAACATCAGAGTGCAGCGCCACATTAAATACGCACTACAATGACAATAGTTTAAAGCGATTTGAAGCATGTTTTATTTTGGGGGGGGGGGCAGAGCTTTGTGACGTCATATTTGAGGGGGGTTTGACTTTTTGTGACGCCTTGTGACGAGGGGGGGGGGAGGAGGTCAAAAATCGTCCAAAATCGCGTGACGTCATTTATGGACGGCCCCAGAAGGGATGACGGCCATTTGTCTTCGGCTAATAACGGACTGGCGACTTATAGAGGAAAGTTCCACCGTGGAGATGGAGCAATGAAATCAGTTTCAATTGCAGGAGATTCTGCACCACGAGGCCCACGTGGGATGGCAGCAACCGGGAGGTCCATCCAGCAGCGAATTGATGTCAGCTGATCACGATGTTGATGACGCAGTGGGACTCCACCCCGATGACGAACTTGTTGCTAATATCCATACGATGTTTGGCG